AACTGAGATTCCTGTAAAAAAATTAAAAAAAATTCACTTATAATACTAGCTAAGAACATTTCTTCAGAGAGAGTAACTAGATTTTAAAATTTGTATATACCTTCTTTTGAGACAAATCAAGTTTATTATCATCACACAGTAAACACCCGTCCTGTAAGCTCCAGCTTTTCGCAATGTAGTTCCCCAGAGAATTCAAAACAGTCTTGCTGGGTCCATTTCCATGCACTATGAGAGGGATTGTCGAATAAGCAGTATTTTTTATGTATGAGTTTCCTGCCTCCAGCTGAAGCTCAACATCAGCTGTTCAGAGAGAAAAGATTTTAAGATGACAAAGGCACAATTTTGTTAAAAATTAACTATATCTATGTACTTACCCAAGGCTCCATTTAAATTCTGGAAAATTGTTGAGCGGTGGTCAAGCTTAATATTTAGTTGTTTCCGGATTTCAGCATCCAAATACATGTGTGTATAGAACAGTTGATCATCATCCGTGTCTTGCACATCTTTCGAAGTAACTAATTGATACAACTCTGGTGCATAACCAATGAACCCTGAAAGATAAATCAATGTAATTAAAATACAATTAAAATACAGAGAGGTACTGTCAATTTCACAGAAAATTATCTTGCTGACAATTTATTTACCTCCAGAATTCAAGAATCTCTTTCCACGGGCTACAGTAGGATAATTTGATGCCAAACTTTCATCAGGCCAACAGAAGCCCTCAGCAGAAAAAACAATACGCCCATCTAAACTACGGAACTGCTTACTGATCTTGTCTGCATTTGCTAGAATGACCACGTCAAAGCTGAAGACAAGAAGATTAAAATATAAAAGTGTAATCATACTGAAAATGAATTTATGAGATTGAGTAGAAGTCAACTCACGCATCAGTAAACAAAATAATTTTATTGGAATCGTTTTTGTATTGTTCAAGTTCTTCCTTCAATAAGTTGATTTTGTAACCACCACCAGGGCGGCTCATGTCTCCACCATTCCACTCTTTACCCATGCCAAGAACCTGGAAGGAAGAAATATTTAGAGCAGCAAAAATAAAAGAGAGAGGGAGAGAGAGAGGGAGATAGTGGGGGAAGGGGAGGAGGGGAGGAGAACGCATCGGATCGAACTGCGTAGTCGCTCTTCCGTTTCGACACCTGGGAAGGCCCAAGACCCAAGGGCGTCATAAGGGCAATGCCGGTCCAAAATGAGCCACCCGCGACTAATTGAAAAGTGCCCCACAAATCCACGCGCTCGGGACAAGCGTGGCGCCCGCAGAGCTATGGGGAACGCCGCAACGCGCCGCCGGCAAAAGTCATCCGCCACGCTCCCGCTGGTGGTCTGGGCGGCTACAGCCGGCGCGGTAGGCAGCCGGGCGGCAGGTGTGCGCGCCGGGACTGCCCGCTCGCCAGGGGCGCCGGGGGGCGCGAGGGACGCTGTCCAACGTCACGTTACCTTCATCGGCACGTTGAAGATTTGGGCGGACCGCTCGAACCTCCGGTACCCGTCCGAAGGATGGGACGCCACGGTGAGGAGCAGCAGCTCTGAAACAAGGTGTGCACAAGATATATGGCAAGAGTTCCTAGGAAAGAAGTGACCCATTCGATCTTGCTTGTTTAATTCGACGGAAAATTATCCCTTGCATAGACCTATGTCCTACTTTGAGAGGGGCTTTTGCTTTATACCCCCCCCCCCCGCCTCTCAACAAAAAAATAGTGGCGTTTTCTTTCCTTTTGTTATTCTTTTGCGGTATATGGCGGGTTATCTATTTTTTTTCTCTCGTGTCGGAGAGATTGAAGTCAATCTGCTGGGCGCGTCGCGTCGGTTCGGCATGGACCGGAAGTCATCGGCCATTCGCGTGGGAGGAGGGGGAGAGGGGCTCAGCCACGGATGGAGTATAGTCTCACCAGCACATTCTACGGCCACGGGCTCGGCCCGCGAACCTCACCCCTCCAGTCTGTACAGACATGGCACATGGCTTTGCACCCAGCAGCACGAGCCTGTATAGACGGAAGGGCAGCCTGGGTCTGGCCGATAGCCCCCCGCCCCCACCCGTCTCACTAACCGACAAAACGGCCGTACACAGCATGAAAACGAAAATGTTTACACCCACCCTCCCTCGCGGGAGGGGAGGGACGACCATTCTGCTCTCCGCCATGAGGTGGTACACATCGGACCCACACCACTATACCCATGCCTCATGGCACTTGCCATGTGCCATGTGGTCTATACGGCCCACGCGACATGGCATGCTGCTCATGAGACACACACATGTCACTCTACCTCTCCTGCACATGTCGTGTCATGAGCAGGCCCACATGCCACGAGCCACACCTGCCATGATACCCACATGCCGAAGGCACACATATCCCATGAGGCATGCATCGGCGTACATGCCATGATCATCATCATCAGGGGGCACACATGCCATGAGGCACACATGCCATGATCATCATCATCAGGGGGCACACATGCCATGAGTCCAGGCCGCGAGGCTCAGACCATCATCATGCGCCTTCGGCTCTTTGATGATGCGGCAACGAAAGCGCTGAGGCATCGAGCAGCTGCGAGTTATTTGACCCCGGCCAGCCGGCCGGCCGGCATGGGGAGCTTGGGGCGAGCCTCTTCCTTGTCGCACGCATGGCGAGAGAGAGAGAGAGATAGCCTTTTAGTTAGGGAGCTGTGATAGGCAGGGCCCACACATGCCGGCAATCTGATCATTCAGCCCAGCTATAGCCAAATGAGAAAAGGGTTGACGGAGATGGAGGAAATTCAAGTTTTCCCGTTCAGTTTCTTAGGCCGGACCCGTTACTTCCCCTTTCACAATACTGATGTTACCCGATAAGATTTGCTATTTAAACTAATATTAAATCGTACAAAACATCACTTAATCATATTTTTCTTACTAATTAATTTGAAAATAGATGAAGTTTTCTTACTGAAACCATGACTTGGTACAGGTACATGCATCTACAATCCTTAACCCCCCCCCCTTTTTTTTGAAGAATACTGAGAAAAATCCGTGGCTGAATAAGAATTTCTTTTGGCAGAGTACTTCCATTTACTTCCATTGATCTAAAAATACAGCGAACTGTAAACAAAGCTGTTTTAAGCTGACACACGATATGCCTTTAGTACGCGGCACGCATTTTGACAAACGTTTGACGGGAAGCGCACAGACGGAGGACAGGCGTGATGTTTAACAAAGACGGTTTTGCTTAAAACAAAGTTGAATCCAGCAGAAGCGAAATGTGAGGTTAGGGCGACTAGAGCGCTGTCAACAACCGGCGCACCCGCGACGGCGCGCCTCCCCGCGCACATTTTCACTCCGTCTTCCAGCGAGCGTTAAGCTTAACCCTCTCACCTTGTTTCTCCAGGGCCAAAGCATCTTGGGCCGCACAAGAAAGGGCCAAGAGCAGGACAACGAGCGCCGACCCTCCAGCCTCCATCGTGATGTCCTGCACACTGCACCGCTCGCCCGCGCCCGCCCCGCGCCCCGCCTCACACACACACTACGCACGCGCGCGCGCGCGCCCCGCTCGCCGCGTCCCGCGCCCCTCGCCGTGCAGCCTCGCGCAGGGCCCCCGGCAGCAAAGACGGGGCCCAACGACACGCGAGCATGACGGCTTTGATTCGCTTCGCGCTTTGCTGGGCCCGCTAGACTGTTGACGAGAAGCTGCTATAGTGCTCCAAAGTCCCGGGGCCCAGCCTCCTCTAATGTGGTTTGCGTGGATGCCAGCGCCGGCCGGGTCCCGGGGCCCGCAAGGCCCGGATAGACGCAGGGTACCGGGACACCGGCAGGGAGGATCCAGGGACCCTGAACCGAGAGGGGGTTGCCGTGGTCTCCAGGACGATGACGTTCATACTCACCGCTCGTGTGGTTGCCGTAGTCAGAGCTGCGCAGCGGGTAGCGCGAAGAGAACCCCCAGCCGAGGTACTCGTCCGGGTCCGCCTCCACCTCGTGGTACGGGAGCAGCCAGCGCTCCGCGGCCTCCAGCTCCTCGAGGTCGACGTCCACGTCGGCGTCCAGGTCGCCGCACAGCTCGCGCGACTCCCCGCGGGCGCGGCTCGCGAGCACGATGGCGCCCTGGCTCATGGGGTCCGTGGCCGCCCAGGTCGTGTGCGCTCCCAGCAGGGTGATCCCAATGAGGGGGGCGCTACCCCCGCGTGGCCGTGCCAAGGGGGCACCACGGAGCACAAGTCCAAGGGCGGCCCACTGGAGTATCCGGAGCATCGTGTTGAGGCGACCACGAGACAGTCACTGCCGGGGCCGATGGGGCCTCCAGGACGTCCAGGGTCCCGAGTCCGGTAGGTCCGATCTGGAGAACTGGAAGGGGGAGTAACAGAGTGGGAAGTGCTCCCTACCGAAAGGGAAGGGGGGGGGGGGGGCAGGTATGCCTGCCTGCCTGCTTACCGCCGTCGCACGGTCCAATAGTCAACTTGATCAATCCGATGATCTGTTGTTTATTTTTATTTTTTTTAAAAACTCTAGGCTGATTGTCTACAGGTCGATTTCTTATTTCCGGACGCATGCATGGATGCAATGCGGTGTACGGGGAAAACAGAGCAGAGCAACGGGCAGAAGCACGGGGAAGTCCCACGCTCGTCTCCAGCGTGGACGGCTGCTGAGAGGAATGAGAGTGGCTGGCTCACCCTAGTCCAGCATGGTCGGTCCTTCCCCACCAGTTACGATCGGTGTCCTGTCCTGATTAGGGTGGTAAGCGTATGACACGGGCTGCACGGGCCACCGATCACTTGCATTGCGCAAGGCGCAGTGAGTCAGGCGTAGGGCCGTGTGACGTCACAGCAGCGGCAGCCGGGCCGCAGGTGGTGAGGTGGAGTAGGGTCTGGCTGCTCCGGTACGGCGCCAAGGAAAATCGTTCAAGCGAAGAGGCGTTTTTTCTTCCCTTTTTTTCTACAAGCATTTCTATAGGAAGTAGATCAGTATGCTGAGGAATAGTTCAACAGGTTGAATGGTAAGCACCATGATAGTTCTGGCCAAGTATAGGAAGGGAGAGAGGCCTGTAAAAATATCCAAGAATTAAGATTACTTTTAAAAAATAAGTTTATTTGAATGAATGTACATTTGTCAATACCTAATTTAAAATTATTTTAAAAATTTCAAATGTTCACAAAAGAGGGGGTGGGGGAATGGGAAACATTAACCATACCAACTAAGATGCACTTTACCTTGCAAAAAATTCAAAATAACACCATTTTCTGTTTGCATTGGAGACAGACTACATTTTACAATTTCAACTCATAAAAATAAGCAAAATACAACTTGCATTAAGTTAACATCACTTCAAAAATAACTGTGCAGATCACTGAGTAAATAATTCATTTAGATAGAGAAACTAAGACTTTGAAATTGTTTTATTTTGAAGTACACAATTATGCGTAGGCACCCACAACAGACTAGCAGCTAACGAAAGGCCAAATAAACACTGGTAAAAAATAATGAACTGTAGAAAATTGCAGATATTTATCTCAGTAAATAAACAAATTAAATAGAATTTCTAACAGAGTGAAAATATACAAGATATATACTTAGGTCGCCACCCTCCAACTTTTCTTTTAATGTCTACATTGGTATGATTCAAAGTTCATGCAGTTCATCAAAATTAAGGCAATAATTTGGTATTGTTTCGATGAAAACTGCAAGTCACATGATACTCTTTGAATACACAATACCACACAGGTACTAGAAAATGTTTACAGCCTACAGAACTGGGTAAAAGTTGAGTGTTTGGAATTTTTTTTTATAAATATAGGGGACAATAAGTAATCATCTTTTTGATGTAGAGAATGATGGAATATTTACACATGATAGAGCAACATCTCCTAAAAACTTGACAACTCTGGGAAAGTTTGCCTCCAGGTTGATGTGAAAGGTACTTTGAGAATTTTGACTCGAGTATTGGGGAGAAGTAGGTTCAAAAGTTTGTGCAACTTTGGAATTGGTAAGATTTTCACAGGAGGCACTGCACTTGTTTCAGGTTGGTCTATTGAGGATATTGTACGGAAATCGCGGGCTAGACTTTCAACATCTTCAGCGTCCGAATTAGAAGCGTTGTCAGTGTCTTTCTGGGATTTCTCCTCCCCTTCTTGTGTTTCCTTCTTCTCTTCATCAACATCCATCTTGTCACCAGCCTCTTTATCTTCTTGAGTTTCACCATTTTCAGACTTCTTCTGCTTATCCTTCTACAAATGGGAAAACATTGTATGAGATAATAGAAATAATAGTTAACACTTGGTATATTGAAGAATACTGGTTACTTACTTGAACAGGGTTAACTACAGGAATGCACTCTCCTGCAAAAGCATTGAGTTTGCCTGAACCCTGAACACCTTTACGTGCTTCACATTGGTCCATAAAGAGGTCAGTGACACGTGTGAGTTCTTGCGTTAATCCCCAAACAAGATACTCTAACGACTCTTCCAAGAGAGGTAAACTACACAGAACAATATGGTTTGTTGAAGCAGACTGAAACAGAAGAATTGGTTAAGATGAGCCTCACAATAATGTCAATGACTTTAAAGAACAATATGAGGAAACTTACTGTTGTTATGTAAGTTGGAATTATAAGTAACCTCCGCAGTTGTTTACACATTCCCAAAGCTTTGTCAAAGCCTGGCTTTACATCAAAGTT